CTTATAATAATCTTTAGAGAATGTTAAAATTGTGTCAGATTGTCTTTTTTATGTTAAAATTTAAAACATGTATTATTGAAGAAAAATGATAATTAAAAATACATTTAGGATTCAAGATCTAGAAATATTTTTAAAAACTACTCTCAGTAATTTAACAGAGTTTGTAAGGCAGAGTTGACTCTGTTGAATTCTTAGGTTTTGCAAAGTGAAGACAAGATTCGTTAACCTTCCCATGAAAATAGAAGCATGCGTTACATCACCAGTTCCAGTCTGCTCCCGGCTGAAGGTCAGCTCCACACGTATGCTGCCCCAGCTCCTCTCCAGAACACCCATCATATGCCAAGACTTTGATGTACGTAGTTTCAAAAAGAGAAGTGCATGCTTGGCTGGAGGGAAGTGGATGACAGTGGCTGGGCAGCCAGAATTGGAGCCAAGACAGGCCAGGTTGACAAAGGGCAACTGACATGCACTGGGAATAAACAAGGTAGCCTGGGTCAGAGGAGCCATCTGCTACACAGCTACAGATGCAAAATGCACATGCATGACACCTGTGTCATCTTCCTGCACCCTTGGCAGGTGAATGAGACCAGCCCTGGGCCAGCGTATTAGTCCGTTTTCATGCTGCTGATAAAGACATATCTGAGACTAGGAAGAAAAAGAGGTTTAATTGGATTTACAGTTCCACGTGACTGGGGAGGCCTCAGAATCATGGCAGGAGGTGAAAGGCACTTCTTACATGGTGGCGGCAAAAGAAAACGAGGAAGATTCAAAAGCGGAAACCCATGATAAACCCATCAGATCTCGTGAGACTTATTCACTACCATGAAAACATTATGGGGGAACCGCCCCCCTTCAAATTATCTCCTGCCAGGTCCCTCCCACAACACATGGGAATTATGGGAGCACAATTCAAGATGAGATTTGGGCGGGAATACAGCCAAACCACATCAGCCAGTGTCAGGGCAGAGGGCACACAGAGGCTGCCCTGACCTGTGCTCTGATTCTGTGGGTGGTTATGCACCACAATGACAGGCTGTTTTGTCAGCATGCAAAAGAAACAGAGGGGAAAGGGACTTCTTCATATACAGGTTTGTTATTTAATTGCTTGTTAAACTGTAATAGGTCAAATCACCACTTCCAAGACAACAATGAGATTCAAATGAAAATCGAATCAATCCAGATCTATTGAGGCCAATAATGTACCTGGTTACTGGGAGTAATGAAAAGATGATGGAGATATTCATTCTGCCTTCAAGAAGCTTACAGTTTAGTGGCAGAGGTAAAACCTAAATACATAAAAATCTTAACGAAAATAACACTAAATGCTTAGTGACATTTTAAAAGTATGTTGAGACAGTCCCTGATTTAGGAACATCTAGAAGATTTCCAATGTGCATAAACCCTTTATCTTACTGTAGAAACAATTATCTGTCCCAGAAATTCTTGGAGAGCTGAAGGTGCCCCATGGAGGCCCCCCCAACCCCCTTGACAAAATCCTGGGGTCCTGGAAGAAGCTTTTGGAGTCACTTAGGGAAGGAAGTTTTCGCTTCTGTTGGGAACAGTGTGTTTCCAGTATCCCAAATTGAAACTCAGAGAACATGTTCATACACAAACAACATAAAAATAGGTGGCCAGGTCAATAATAGGTGACAGTGTCAGATTGTAACTAAATCATAATTTGTGCTAAATAGATATTTGCAGGAGTAGAACAACATTTTTGATGCTAATTTTATTTTAAAATGTGTTCAAAGTACCATATACCTAGTTTCTTTACAAACACACTTTCCAGAAATGAGCCAATGCGTGAGCCAGGGCTGACCGTAAAAGAGGTGTCATAGGGAGTCCTTGATTAGTTGCCAAATTAATAGCACTGATGTAAGTTGTTATTGCGGCTCAGAAGCAAAAATATCTCTCCCACACCTAGGATGGTCAGGAAGAAGCAGGCTCTGAGATCTGGGGGATGAAGGATCTAAGGTACTGGAGCTCTCTGCTCCTTTAGAACAGGTAGAGTGCTTCCAGCCCTCCAGAACCAAGAGGAAAAGGGATTTGCAAAAGTCCCTTTGAAAGGGAGGGATTTCCCTTTCAGGCAGGGTCCTTTTCATCTCACCCGACTTTTTCCTTTAAAAATGCATCCAAAGAAGAGCAAAACTCAAACAACAACGATTAAGGACCAATATCTAATTTAGGAGGCGAGGGACCCAGAAACAGAATTTTGCATTGAAAATTACTATGTTTCCCATAAGCCAGTTGAGACATGTATTTCCTAACACTGATTATATTAAATATTAATTAACTAGAATAATTATTAGCTTCAACTGTTTGGGCCAGGTCCTCTCTGGTTTGTAAATTACTAACTGGCTATGAATCATAGATTAAGGGACTGCCTCACTTCTTTTCAGCATCTTTCCTGGATACCTAAGGGCCTAAGAGTTAACAGGGGACCCCTCTGCCTGCCCACCCATGCAATGATCCCCATCCAGGGCAGAACAGACACCCTCAGTTGCTAATCTAGGGGTCACCTCCTCCCCAGGAGCCCTGAGTCCTCTGTAAGGAAAGGCAGGTTTACTCATCTCATCTATTAGGAAGACAAGAGAGCACTTTCCGGAAGATACCAGCAGCCTGGCACTTCACTCTCACATCACAGCGCTCTGTCGGAAGGATTTTTTTTCTGAAAAGGTGCTTCTTATCTTGTTTTCCTTTGAAACCTCTTCAAAGGGGAGCTCTGACCCAGGCAGGTGGTGGAGATGTGAGATAAGTCCTGTTTCATGGTGCAGAGTTCTGAGTCGTGAGAGAGTGCGGGCTCAGTGCGGCCTGAGCTGGATTCCAAGCTAGTGACTTTGCGGGCACAGTCTGTTCTCTAAAAATAATAAAAATAAAAAGAGAGCCCGGTCAGTGTCACCACTCTGAGTCTCTTCTGGATTTTTTGAGGTGTAATTCCTCATCAGCAGCTTTGAGGCACCTTTTTTTGTTCTTCAACCAGGGCTGGCCCTTTGAAATTTGTTGACTGTGTTTTGATTTCAAAACTTTATCTCAAAAGCTGTGTCTATGGTGTCCATGCACAAAGTTTTGTGAATAGTTATTATTGTGTGTCAGTATTAGTAAATAGAGTGTTATCATGGGAATGGTAACTCTCATGTGTTTTACTAAGTTAAAGTTTATGTATATTGGAAATAGATCTTGAAAGAAGTATTTTTAGAGGATAAAATCCTAACATATTGTCAGCATTGACTTATTTAGCTATATTGTATAGCACAGCTAAGGGACAGTGAGAAAAAGTAGGTTGATTGGCTATCTGTGATAGATTGCATTTGCAGGTTATAGCACAAATTATCACTACTCTGCTACATCTTGGAAATGCAGTTTCTTCAGTAAATATGGAATGCTTCTTTAAGGTCGAATCTATTCTTCATTTTCTTTCTTTTTTTTTTTAAACACAATAATCAGGGCTTTTTTTCAGCTCTTACCGCAGAAAAGTTTTTCTGCAAGAAAAGTATTTCTAGAAGATGGCCAACTTTATTCCTATTAGCAGCTAACATTAGAAAAGAAATGCAAATGTGATTGCATCTTGTTACTTGGTAACTGGAAGTACACACATTTGGGCAGGGAAAACGTATTTGACAAAAGGATCCGTTTTGGCAGCTCCCCTCCCCCTGCCTGGCCTGCTGCGTGTACTCGTGTGTCACATTCAGTCTTGTTTTGAGTTGAAGGATCTGTGGAAAAGTGTGTGCGGCTGATTCCCAGTTGGGTAAAGCTCATATTGCAGAGCCCTGGGATGGTATTTCTTACAGTGTGGTCCATGGGAAGCTGGTTCGGGCCAGGCAGCAGCTCTAATGAGCTCGGCCTTCTCTGGTGCCATAGCTGGGAGTTCTCTAAGATAGACAGACATGATTGCTTACACTTTCTTCTCATGAAAAAAAAAAAATTAGAAAGAGAACCCCTGGGCTTTTCTGGATGTGATGATTAGTAAACCAACGAAGTCTAATTCTCACTGCAATTTTAGTGTTTTTTGTATGGCTTAGAGAATTTGGCAACATCTCCGTAAGGGGGACTAATTGGAAGCAAGGCAATATTAAATTGGTCCACACAGAACCTCGCAGCAGCCTTACCCTAGGAAGTCTCTTGCTTGAGTAGAATTTGGAAGTACTGGTTATTTTGTTTTTTTGTTTTTTTGCTGCTTTTGCAGTATTAAAATGAGGCAAGACAAGCAGGTGAACACATCTGAGAGTTCTGGGTCAGGCATGCCACCATCGTATAGGCAGTGAAAACCTGTCACAGTACAAATGTGGACTGAACGGGAACTAATCCAGAAACGAATTAGTAGGCATCATGTGTTTTTACAAGGTGTTTCAAATTGATTGGTTAATCCTCATGGCATCTGGAGTGAGGAACTACAGAGAGAAGCCCCACAGAGGCTTCAACTAAACTGGGATTAGAACTCAGCCAGAGTAATTAGTCCACTAAAGCAAAGAAAGCAGAGAGGGAATTTCTTATATTGTACTTGGTTGATAGATTTCAAGTGATGCTTCATATGGGGGAAAATAAATTTTGAGGATTTTAAACCCAGCTAAGGTACAACTTTGAGACTACATTTTGAACAAGGTAAGCAGAGTGGCCTCTGAGTCTTCATGATGTGATTCACGTGGAAACATTCCCTACTTCTTTATATTTATCTAGCTTCTAACATCGTTTAAGGATGAACTCAAATGGTATCTCATTCGTGAAGTCTTTTCTGCTTTTAAAAGTAGTTATGACTTGCTGCTAAGTATTTTAGTTCTTATCTTTAGAGCAACTCGGTGAATACTTTAAAGATAAAAAGAGCTGAGATTAAGAAAAATAAATTGCTAGTGAATGTCAGAGTTAGAATTCAAACTAACGAATGTTGAGTTATGCACGTCTTGTGAAAAACCAGTTTCCTCCTACCCTATAGGTAATTAATCTACCCTTTGCTTTCATCTTGATCATTATTTAAATATTTTTATATTAGTCTTGCAATTTGTTAATGTTGCAGTTCTTTGAAAGCAGAAACTAAAGTTATATTTCCAATGAAAACTTCCTAGTAGTTGACACAATGTACAAAAGATGACTTCACTATTTTTTTTTTTAAGAAAGAGGGCTTATATGCTAGCGCCAACACTTACTCTTACCACAGCTGATATGGCCCATGTGTGGTAGGAAATGTAGAAACTGTTTTTATGCTCGGTCCTGTTCTGAACATTCCCAATATGCTTTTTATAAGATCTTCACTCCAGACCTGAGAAGAATTCTTGAGAAGCTGCAACACTTTGTATGGAGAGACTAGCACGGAAAAAGTTTATTAAGTAAGTAAAAGACTGAATGCAAAGATAATCCTTACACAGAGAGCCTACACTTTCTTACAATAGAGGAAAATGTTTTCTGTCTGGCCAGTCAGGTTGCATCTATGAGAGTGCGGTTTCTACTGCTTGTAGAGAAATTTCTGGATAAAGACACTTTCGTAGCAATACTAATCTCCACTGCTTGAAGAGAAAATACAATTTGGGGGAACTGGTGGAATGGCAGCGCTCTGCTAAGATTTCTATTATTCTCAAGAATGTGTTGATGATCATCTTCCTTATCTTTAAACAGTTACTATGTTTACCTCCAAGTGAATTTCCTTTCTCCGTAGAGATGCTATTTTGGTAGCGATCCTCTTTTCCTGTACAAATGTCAAAATCTGCTTAGTAAGGAAACAGCAATGAAGTGCTTCACTTGAAAACTACAGATGATCTTGAAGAACGCAGTTCATGATACAACCAAAGTCAACATAAAGTTGAATCTCCCAGAGCGGAGGTTACGAAAAGCTGTTACGAATCATCCAGCATTCAGTGTGTGGGGCAAAGAGGGAGAGATAAGCAGAGAAGAATGTCTACATTATGATGCTTGGTGTATGAAGTAGAGAGGAAAGGACTTGACATCTGGCAGTACAACATAGTTTTGCAGCACAGAGAGCTCAGTTTATTTCACTAACATCTAGGCTACATTTGGAAAATGCAGTAAAGAGAGAAATATGTCCAGATATTCCACGACTCCATTATCCTTCACATATCCTATATCATGCATGGACAAAAGAATGATAGAAATGGTTTACCACTTAGATCCCTAAAATTAATAAATGCATAGAATATCGAGTTGAAAAAGATTTTAGAAATTCTTTAGGTCAGGTTATTCTTAAAGGGGATTATCAAATCTTGCCTCCTGCATAAGAATCCCCTAAGATCCTTGGGTTGTGACTTAATTCTGATACAAGGTGAACTAAATAGCATTGGTTCTGACTAATGGACTCATTCATTTATTCACCCATTCATCCAACAAAAAAGTGTTGAATGACCCCTGTGTGTCCGTTTCTGTGCCACTGGTTTCCAGTGAGGTAATGAGGAAGAAGTCAAGGGCTGCACCCTTGGAGAATGCAGGGGCTAGGACAGGAATCTCCTACATAAACATTTAATTCTGCTACACATAATGCTTGTTAAAAAGTGAGTGTTTATAAAATGCTATAGAAATGCAGAGAAGGAGATCATTTTTTCTGCTTGGCACAGTTGGGGAAAATCTTTCAGAAGTGGCATTGAAATCAGGACTTTGAAGATGAATGGATGCTCGTCATTTGGAGAGAAAAGAGAAAAAATGATATTCTAGACAAGAGGAAGTGGCAAAAACACATGATAAGTTAACAAAACAGTAAATAACTTGATACTACTTGAAGGCAGGTGGGAAGGTAGAAATGATATTTGCTGTGTAACTTAAGGCCTTGTCCGTCATACCTGTGGCAGTTATTTTAGTGTGTATGAACACTACATATCCCATTTCTTCTTTTCAGTCTTGAGCAGGAAGCAGTACTCATTTCCAGAATCATGAGGTATGTTATGTAAACATCCATGGCAGCCTTCACAAGAAACCTTATCTTCCTTGATTTAGGTAAACAGGAACCAAATGCTGACACATTATCAAAAACAAAAACAGCTGTCAATAATCACACTCTACACACCCACAGCATTTTTGACATTTAAAAAAGATTTAAAAATAAAAACGGCTCCATTTCCTAAATAGATACTCTTGACACTGAAGTGTGTTACATTCCCTATCTTATCTTTATAACCCAGTTTGAAATCATATCTATAGCTCATGTTTGCACTTCAATTTTCACAGATCCTATGATGAGAGTCCAGTTGTTCCATTTGACATTGAACTTTAGAGTTTAAGTTGATGGTAAAAATCACAAAACAAGGGAAAAAATTATTTAGCCAAATGCAGACAGCCTGGTTTAAAGCTGAGGGAATTTTAACTGTTCAACCTTAAGAGAGTTTTGAAAAACATGATGGCTTTAAGGACAAGTAGCAAATTTAAAAGCAGAATAAAACCCCGTAAAATTTCTTTAAGACATACTAGTACACTTGGGAGCCATTTGCATCTTATTTTTATGTTTGCATTTTCTCTTTGAAAATATACTTGGCAAAATGCCTGCAGAATAATACCTAGGAAGAATAATTAAAGCCATTTCTGTCAGCCTTTCCTTAATGTAACCAAGCCATCCATTTCTATTAGACTCAATTCTCTTGCTCTAGGACTTTTGCAAAGGTCAAGGCTCTGCTCAGTAGCACTTTTTATTTAAATAAAGTCACGAGTTTATCTCTATGTTGTTTCTCCCAACTCTCAAAAGCCTCAGTGATTCCCAACTTCTTATAGCACTGAATCTTCTGATTTATCAGCCAGAATTAAAACTTCACATTTCTAAGATGATTACATGTCTTCACCAACAAGTGCATGTGCCAATTTGTTTTCCTTCTTTTAAATACCATTTTAGAGAAGCACCATAAAAGCGGCCAAAGAGGTCAGGCGTAGTGGCTCAAGCCTGTAATCCCAGCACTTTGGAAGGCTGGGGTGGGCGGATCACCTGAGGTCAGGAGTTCAAGTCCAGCCTGGCCAACATGGCAAAACCCTGACTCTACTAAAAATACAAAAATTAGCCAAGCGTGGTGGTGGGCACCTGTAATCCCAGCTACTAGGGAGCCTGAGGCAGGAGAATCACTTGAACCTGGGAGGCGGAGGTTGTAGTGAGCCGAGATTGTGCCATTGCACCCCAGCCTGGGCGACAAGAGCAAAACTCTGTCTCAAAAAAAAAAGAAAGAAAAGAAAAAAAGAGTGGCTAAAGAAATAGGATGGCCTGTGGAAGTAAAAACTTAAGAGCTTAAGAGGCATGTTGGCATTGCACTACCCACACAAGCCCAAACCAGTGACTAAAATATGTCACACAAAGGCATAGTTGTCATGCATGAAAAATCTATAGAATTATCTCAATCTTCAGTTTGCTTTCTTCAAATAGAGCCTTCACATCAGAAAATGTGACGTTTTGTCTTACACTGGTTATACTGCTTATTCTTTAGTCCCTCTTTTTAATTTTCTTGTGAAAACAAGTTTACATACCTTCACATCCATTCCTAAGGCATGACCACCATCCAGTTCCTAAACCCACAGAATGCAATGTACTTGTAGCTTTCTGTAGCATTGTGTTTAATAAATGCTTATTAACTCACTAAAGAAAGAAAAAGGAGCCTCTGATCTTTGTATGAATTTCCAATCTCTCCAGTTTTTTAATAAGAATAGAGCATTTCTCTCAGTCCATTCGTTTACATTCTATGGTCGCCAAGGGCTGATGCCTTCTTGTTTAACTTTGACAACTAACAAATACTAGGCACAACCAGAATACAAATTATTTTACTGTTATTAGTGAACAACACTCACTGTGCTTAACCGAAGCTCAGAGTTGTTCTTAGGTAGCTCTAAGTGAACTTTAAGCAAGTATTTATAACCACTTACAATAAACTAGGAAACATTCTTAAGTAAAAGCCTTTCTTCCCCACAAATATATCTTCATTTGCTCTTTGGGTTTTTACAGAAATATGACTGTTTCAGTTCTGGTAATGGTACTTTTCAATCAGGTCAGACCTTATTTGAAAACAAATATTTTTTAAAAGGAGGATTTGCCAAACCAGAGTAATCAGTGCCTCCCCTTGGAAATCTCATTTTGGAAAGGTTTAATAGTTAAAACCTACTTATGGTGTCACAATTTTAAAAATTTGATGCCAAAGTATGCATTTAGAACAAAAAAGGTTAGAAAGTATTAAAAGTGAGACAATCTGACAAGTAGACATGAACAGTGACATATTGGAAGGATTATTCCAAAACAGATCACCAATGAACTGCTACTGCTGCCTCTTTGAAACTCTGTTGCTATCCTTGAGAAGAAGAGGAACTCTCACCTGGCAAAGTGGGGGTGTGTGGAAGGATGGTTTCCTGGCCAGTCCTCTGCTCTCACCATTTTGTCACCATGATGCTTTCTCAACTATTTGTTATTCATCATAACTCCTTTTATTTTGTCTTTACAGTTGTTTGATTTTATTTTTCTCATTTACCTTTTGATATTATTCTTTTCTAAAAGTATTATCTTTCATTCATTTAAAATGATTTTCATTTTCTTAGATTGACTTGATGAGACCTTCATATTGAAGATAAAAACAAGGAAACTTTGAGTTATCATAGGTGAGTTTCTCACATTATTCTCACAGGCACCTTTTCTCCATCTTTTTCTACCATTATTACTTCTGTCTACTTATTTTCTCTAGGATCCATTTTTTAAAAGTTGATCCATGGGTAAGCAATTCCATGATTTTGCTAGTACAAGCTTTGCCTAGAATTTTTATTTCATTTCTCTAATGTCACCTAGCAATGCGTATGATGCTAGAATCATATTAATGAAGACTGAAGAGTTGAGAAAGAAAATTGTTCTTCAGATTAGCTTGACTTTCCTGGAACACAACAAGCAACTCAAATGCAGCAGATAGAAACTCACAAGTAGAAAACTTTCAGGCACCATGTAGTTTCTTACAGAGAAGTTAAAACTTGAAGAAATGTTCACCTGGGAGTATTTTTACTAACATTATCCCAAGCACTGGTCCTGGGGCTTGGTCCACGGGCCTCTGAAACCTTTCAGCTGATTTCAAGTCACCACGAACACAGACATGGAGGACCAATTTCGTTAATTATTGGTGTCCTGCTGTTTGGGGGTGGAATGGAAATTTTAACCCCTGACAATCACATGACTACTTCTTTGTATCTGTTAAAGTATATAACTGATTATAAAGTATGGCTACATTTGGAAGCAAAAGTGACGTTTTTTTTCACTGAGTGTGGGGGGGAACTCACATAACCTGAAAGAAAGGAAGTAAAGTTAGATAATATATAAGGGACTATGTCTCGCTTCTCTAGTGAATTCACTGATATAATAACCTACCTGTAAGTAGCTGTGGCCAATGAATATTAGAAAAGTGGAAGTCTTCCCAGTACTGCTGAAACTAAGCTCCCAAGCTAGAGTTGGTGTAAATTGGTTTCTTTGTTTGTTTAATTTTGTTTAGAAAAGTTGTACTAAAATTGGAAGAGTGAAAGCATTGCTACTTATTAATTGCTCCCAATCTGAATATACTTTAGTCTTAATTCCTTATTCTAATGTTTAACAGATAAATGAACAATAAGAATTTCACTTTGCAGTTTTCAAGCTTTCACAACCAAGAAAAATGTATGTACAACATAAATAATTATACAAAAAAGACTACTTGAGTAAGTTATCAGTGTGACCAAGTTCACATTATTGTAACTGGATCACCGTATGACCAGTTCGTTTTTCAAAATAGCCTCCACATACATCCAACACAGAAATGAAATTAGAGGGATAATCATCTGTTTTGTGACACAATAAAATCTGGTCGTAATGGAAGTAGTTTACTTAAATAAAATGTTTCCATTACAGTTCCATGTAAACATTCAAGCCATATCTGTGTCTGAATTATTCATTGATAGAGCATCATCCATGCTCCCCTAGATTAATGGGAGCACATTCTCAGTGGTCCAACTCAGTGACCAAAACATAATTTTAACAAGGTAGGAGAATGTAGGAATTAGACAGTTTGCAACTGTCAAAACATTCCTGGCCTTATTCAAGGGACCTTGAACTTTTATAAGCAGCCTTTTAATTTCAAGAAAGATTGAAAAAAATCCCTTGTAGTTTTGTGTATTTGAATTTTTTTTTTACTTCTTGTTTTTAGTTCTAGGGTATATGAGCAGGATGTACAGGTTTGTTACATAGGTAAACATGTGCCCTGGTGTTTTGCTATACATATCAACCCATTACCTAGGTATGAAGCCCAGCATGCATTAAATCGCCAAAATCAATTGCAACAAAAGCAAAAATTGAAAAATGGGATCTATTGGAATGTTGAATTTTGAAATAGAGTCTCTCCCAAGCACAGGAAATGTTTTTTAAGTATTTTTGTCATGTAAGGAAAAGAAATTTTTCTTTAATCAGCATATTCCATAAAGTCAGCAAAAGGTCGCTGCATAAGGATATCAGATTATTTAAGGCCAAGGTGTAAAAAAATTAAAAATACACTGGTGAGGGGAAAAATCAAAAAGGTAATTAATATGGTAAATAAAATATTTCCCTGGTAAAGGTAGCTAGTGAACAGGCAGACACCAAATCTCATACTTCCCCCAAGTGTGATTAATGTAACTCTGAAAGAATATGTCTTAAGCATCCCCTAAGAGGACACTTTTCTAAGGATGAGTGACTGAAGGTGTGTGTGTGTGCCTCTTGGCGTTGGCTGTCCATCTGGTGGTCTCTGTTTGGAAGATGTTGATGTTGATGCTGCTTTCTCAGTGCCCTCCTCATCCACCAGTAGAGGCGCCCTGGGCTTCTGGGAACTTGGTTTCCCTCCTCACCTACCTAAGTCTGGGTGTACAGGGTAGAACTAAGTCATTTACTCTGATGAGATTGCACTGTTCTAGTGTAAAGTGGAACGTGATGAAAAGGATAGGCTTTTTTATTCCAAGTTCTATCCCTTGTAGTATAAAGAATAAGAGTTGAAAAGTGAAAGGTAGGTTATTGTAAAGTTTTGCTTTTTTTTCTCCTCATGAAGAATATTTAAGCCCTTTGGACTTGGTAATTTCAAGATGTCTGCAGCCCTGGAGTTTACTAAGAAGTCACTCATTCATGCCTTTTTGAAATCTTTTCAAAACTCTAAAGGAATTTGCAGCTTTTAATTAAGGGTAACTAGGGTTACAGTAAAAAAAAAAAAAACACACACAAAAATCAACTGACAATTAAAAACAAATAATTTACTAATTATTTATTTTTTACTTATACTTGTCAATTTTCCCAGAAAGTTTGAGGCATATTAAATGTTAAAGCATACCTAAAGTGAAGTAATTAAAAATACAAAGAGACCACAGTTACATTAAAATAATGAAGAAAGAGTGAGTTGTATCTTAATAATGCTCAGGCACAAATTTAACTTTAAGCCTCTGGAAATATGTTTTTTTAAAAAAAGGATTAGATTGGATTAGATTAGATTTGGTCCTTGGTGTCAGATGAAAAGAAAAAAGGACAAAGCAAAGTAGTGAAACCTATTTTTAATTGACTTAATTCTACAAAGTATGCTTCATACATGGATCCTAACAAAAATATATTCTGCTGGGTCATTTCAACCATGGTTTTGCAGAATTTCCTACTTAAATCAAAGGCTATTATTAGTCATCATCAGAACATCATGTTTCCCTCCATCTAAGTAGTTATTATAATAGTAATGTGTGTGTGATTATTATCTGTGTTTTGAACTAAGGGAATGTAAGTGTTATAAGAGTAGAAACCAAATCTGCTTTTGCTCAACTTTCTATTTCAGGGGCAGGGCTGGCATAGGGAAGCACTTACTAAAAATTTGTTAAGTGAGTGAAAATTATTCTAATGAATGTCTTTCATACCATCCCCTCAAATCCCAGGACATTACATTAAATTTCAACCTGTGTGATAAATTTTATGAAAAAAAGTGAAAATAATGTAATCTAATTGCTTGGTTTTTGGATGATGTGATTCTTAAGTAATAAGGCTTGGAAAATCTAGAAGAATGTGTGAGTCAAATGCGCCTTAGATTGTCCCTTCAAGTATTGGATGGTAAGTTCTGGCAAGAACTGGCCCACAGGAATTTGCAGTTAAATTTTCTAAAAACCAAATGCATCCACTGCTCAGTCATTAAAGAAAACTGTACACCAACATTAAGTGGAACATTCTTCTGTAATCTTTCTGCGTACATTCTTCTGTAAAAATTCAGAGGTTTGGGTTGTGTTATGGCCTAGGTGGAGAGCTTCATCCTTTTCCCTTGAAGACAGTGGTGCGAAGAGATGAGAAGGGGACTTGGGGGCCAGCCAAGCTTGAGTTGAAGTCCCAGTCCTGCCTCCTGATATTACTATGACATTGGGAAAGTATTCTTTGCTTAAGTTGCAAGTTGATGCATTGTGAAGTGTAGCAATGACACCTGCTACTTCTCAGAATTATGGAGGTAAAGTGACAATGAGTGAAAAATGTTCAACACAGAGTAGGGTAATACGTAGATGTACATTTTTAATGGATGCCTTCCTCAGGCCATCTGCTCAATGGAGGTGAATAATGCCATTCAGCTTCACCAAAAGTACACCTAATTCCCTGGAGGGAATTCTGTAACTGAGGTGACTTGAGATCAATAACATGGTTAGTGATAGTTTTCCAGAAGTTTCCGTAATATGCCTAGATCTCAATCACTAGTCACTGAATTAAGAGTAAGTGAATAAGTCAATACATTTGGATCTGAAAGCCCTTGATTTGGGTTAAGCTGTAGCTGAAATAAAACCCTAAGGCCAATTGACATGGGAGTTTATTTGAGCTTTTACATTCTTTTTCCCTCATCTATGGGCTTACCTTTTAAAATCTGAGTTTTTGAATACCTTTGAAAATTAGTAAATTTCTGATTATAATTAGTTTTTTCAAGCCAAAATGTATTCCATCTCCTTCTTGACATTGTACAGCACATCTAAAAACAGCCTCTCTATATGCTTGAGCTTAGGTAACGTGACATAAGGCTCTTGCCCAGAAATTAGGTATTTAATGGAAAGAGAAATATTGATTATTATTACAGCATATTTTCTGGTAAATTTTTGTATTACTGGATGCTAACAGGCATTCAATGAACTTAGTAAATTACATCATTTAGAAACAATCTTTATTCTATTTTAGCCTAGGTGTCTCTAACTTGCATAATTGCTTTATTTATGAAAACTGGAATAGTCACAATTTCCTCTGTAAGAAATCTATGTTTCATTGAAAGATAAACAATTCTCTTTTTGTTCAGGAGACAGCTTTAGATTTTAATAACCTACACTCTCCCATCTGCTCCAACTATAAATTGTACATACAATTTACCATCATGACAGGATGATGCCAGGTCAGAATCATTGGGCAGGAACAGCATATCTGGAGTCCACTCTCTTCTGAAAAAGTCATTGGGTCCTTTGTCACTAAGAGCAGGTCATTGTATTAGTTTGGAGAGCTACCATGTGATACAGAAAGAAGGGGCATGCACTCCCAATAGATCTCAGACGCAGTGTGACTATTTTAGAAAGAGATATGGCTGAACATATAAAATAATGCAATTGCACTGCTATATCAATTCCTAAATCTTCAAGCAATTATCCTAATTGTCTAAAAGGAGCACAAACAAATGATATATCCAAGCTTAGAATAGACAATATTTTGTATAAAAGGTATTTGAAAGCAAAATGGGCATCTGTCTCACTATTTTGAAATGTTTGAAAAGAAACATGGATTGATGAAAATAAGAAGTTTGGGTTCTAGACACTCACTCTACAACCCCCCCCCAACCCAACACACACACACACAAATGGTAGACCACAAGTAGGCCTCTTTTAAAGTCTGTGACTTTGTACCTTTAAGAAGAACAGGCAGGAGTCCGCTGGGAAACATCAAGTGTTTTGAGATTCGCCTGGGGATCCTGCTGTGCATCACAGCTGTGATTGTTACCGTTTGTTTACTAATTCCGATAAAATATGAGATGCATTAAGTTACTAATCTTTTTTTAAAAATATCTGTTGTTTAAATCTTCTAGAAGATGGTGAAATCCACTGCAGAAACAGAAAATTTGAATGGCAAGAGAAAATAACAGGGATGTCCTGTGTACTTATTGTACGTCCACCGTGTTACAGGTTACTGGGGGCTCTGACCTTGGGTGGTCCTAGACCTAGAGCTGAATCCATCAAAAAAAAAAAAAAAAAAAACCACCTCACAGGGGAAGGTGGTGTCCACACTTAGCAACTTAGTGCCAGTTTAATTAAGGTCCCTGAGGATCTGCAAACAAAACCAGAAGGAATCCATGGGTAAAAAGAGGATGATCAGCTTAGAAGGAGAGGGCTAGGGGAGCAAAGATCATTCATGCCCCTCCTGCCCCAGGTTAAAGCATAACCTCAGCCTTGGAGGAACAAGATGGTTATCACCCAATGGGTTCATCTTGCCCACTGTCCGGAAAAGCCAGTTTACTGAGACAGCGTTATTGCAATAGAAAAACGTTTGATAAACACAGATCCATTTAAATGGAAAACCAAAGTTTTATTACTACTCAGATAAGTGTCCTTGAAAATTCAGAGGCTAGAGTTTTTTAAGGATAGTTTGGTGGGCAGGGAGGTAGGGAATGGGGAGTGCTGATTGGCTGGGGCCGAGTTAAAAGCATAAGGAATCAAAGCTGTCTTTTTGCACTGTCAGTCCCTGGATGGGAGCCACAAGACCCGATGAACCAGTTTACCCACCTGGGTGGCATCAGTTGGTCCATCAGAAGGCAGGGTCTAAAAAATACCTTGAACACCAATCTTAGGTTTTACAATGGTAATTTTATCCACAGGAGCCACTGGGGAGGTTAGGAATATTATGGCCTCTGGCTGCATGACTTCTGAGCCATAATTTCCAATCTTAGGATGAATTTGTTAGTTCTACAAAAGCCTAATTCCCAAGCAAGGAGGGGGTTTGTTTTTGGAAGAGGCTGTTATCATCTTGGTTTCAAAGTTAAACTGTAACTTTCATAGCCTACGCCCACAAAAGAACAAAGGCAACTTGGAGGTCAGAAGCAAGATGGAGTTGGTCAGGTCAGATTTGTTTCACCATCAAGATTTTTGAAAGGCAGTTTCGGCCGGGCTCAGTAGCTCACGCCTGTAATCCCAGTACTTTGGGAGGCTGAGGCCGGTGGATCACGAGGTCAGGAAATCGAGACCATCCTGGCTGACATGGTGAAACCCCGTTTCTACTAAAAAACAAAAAACAAAAAATTAGCCAGGTGTGGTGGCGGGCGCCTGTAGTCCCAGCTACTCGGGAGGCTGAGGCAGGAGAATGGCGTGAACCCGGGAGGCGGAGCTTGCAGTGAGCCAAGATCACACCACTGCACTCCAGCCTGGGCGGCAGAGCAAGACTCTGTCTCAAAAAAAAAGAAAGAAAGGAAAAAGAAAAGCAGTTTCATTACCCTCCAGTCTCCAGAGAGTTGGGACATTCATTGGGCCCTTCCAAAGCTTAGATCAAACACCATCTTCCAAACATTTCTCTTCTGTTTAGATTAATGTATTATATAAGCTATGGAGAAATAATTTGACTTCTTAAGTGCCACTGAAAGGGGGAGAGCCATGTCCTAGATAAGGGGGTAGGATCTTGTGGGTACTTGGAAGACATGGCTCCCTTGTAGATGTCAACTGTTTCTAGGGTTTGTGGAACAATTCACTGTCAATCTTCCAAGTGTGAATGTGCTATTAGATGTATAATCACCTCTGGCCATCCTATATATTTTTATTGTTTAATCAGTTTCTGAAATGAAAAGACTGAGGATGAGATAGTGGAACCTGGCCACTCAAACTTCTTGTTGCCCCTGAGAGACTCTACCTGCACCCAGGCAGCCTCCAGACACAATAACAGGACCAAACTCACACATTTGACCACACTCACTATGGTCAAATGAGGGTATGGCTTGCAGAGTGAGTCTCCTTGATTTGTAAAAGAGCCTTATGGTCTCTTCTGGCCAATGATGCTTTTTCTTAATCTCTTTCAAATGCGAGCTATAGCTGTAGAATAAAAGGCGATGCAGTACAGCAGCCAGCACCTCAGACATTGCAGCTGGCCTGGGTTTGAATCAAAGCTCTGCTACATCAGAGCCTGCCTTAGCCCCTCTATGCCACCATGTCCTTGTCCGATTGTGCCTACCTCGTGAGTTTCTGGGAGGATTAACTGAGGGAGTACAAGAAAAGTCATTGAAACAGCACCAGGTGTACCATAGGAGAGTTGGCCTTGGGGTCTAGCTTGGGTCTTGTACACCCTAGAAAAGATTCACAGAGGAGGAAATTAAGACCCAGAGAAGCGGCATGATTTGTTTCAGTCATGCTGGCCTCGTGGAGGTGGAAACCCAGGGCTCCCAGTTACTGTCCCAGGTTCTCTCTACTCTCACTACTTGTTTTTAACTTATGTTACTATTAATACAAACAACAGAAACTAATTTTTCATGTTTTTTTTTTGTTCTAGGACATATAGACATTAGCAAGATTGTATTTATTTAACAAAATAAGTCACTTTATATCTTTTATTTTCCAACTACAGGTTTATGTTGTATCATCAAACTTGCTATCAATTTTTTATGATCAGTTATAGAATCTGTGCTTACCGAATGTGATATGATACCAGAAACATTATACATGGTATACCTGAGCTGTCCTAGTAGAGATATTATAGAAGAAAGCGTACTTACGCTCGTAGATCTGAAAAATGACATCTGATTAAGAAATGTTACTCATACCATATGACTGGAAAAGATGGGAAGACAGAAATATTAAAGGAATCACATTTTAAAAGAAGATATTTTTATTTCTTAGAGTTCAGCATTACCCATTTATTTTTCATCATAAAAGTAAGGAAAAATGTTCAAACTAATAGAAATAGCATATACTACTGTGATGAGTAAAACGTCTCCTTAACGTGAGTTTGAGACTAAGAAGTCTAAAATAAGGGGTTCATACTGAATCTGACCCTCCAATGACAGCAACTTCTTTCTAGGCTGTTCTTTCTTGTTTTTCTCTGTTGTATCAAAATGAGTAAAACACTTTCAGATGATGTCTCATGAACAACTATTTCATATTATCATGCTTTCTTTTAAATGTCTTTACTACGTCTTTCTGCAGAATGGTAAAAATATAGTTTTAATACTCTCTTCCCACGCTACTGCAAATTAGCATGAAAAATATATTCAAAAAAGGAAAAATATTCATATGCATTTTCTATAGATAAGTATATCTGCCTTCCTGCACCCAGTCAGGATAAAAAAAGAAATTATAATAGATCTACTCATTTCTAACAACCTCCTTGGACAGTTCTTCTGCTGAATTATAGTATTTCTTTCCACCAAAGAGAAAAACCAACCGAGTGTTAGGTTAGTTCTACGGACATGAACAAGCATTTCCCACAGGATGTGTGTGTGAGAGTTTGGACCAGAACTCAGACTGGTGGGAAATTGGAAATTAAATTTATGAGAAATTAATGCTGATTCTTAACTTTTCTCATTTTACAGCCCATTGTTTTCAGAAGAGTGTGTGTTTCTCATGGGCAAAGGAAAGAATCCAGAGTGAGAAGCTGAAGAAAGTGGGAAGTGCTAGATTGGCGTGATTTCAAAAGGTATGATAAGATGCAGGAGCTCATCAGCTGTGGCTGAGGCTGCGCGGCTTCCATTGTGACACAGAGGGACATTGTAAGAGCTTTGAAAAGCAAAGGGGGATGCAACCAGGCGAATGTTCAGGACACTGGAGCTGCAAGAAAAACTAACAGCTGGGTCTAAATCAAACTGCTTCGCACCTCCCCTCTTTTTTTTCTTTTCTTTTCTTTCTTTCTTTCTTTCTTTTTTTTTTTTTTTTGGTCGTTTCTGCGTGCAAGTGGGAAGGACCATAACAGAATTATTGTGTTTCTCTAACCCAGGAAAGGAAATGCCACACTCTGGCGCATTCACCCTGTGAACAAGCTTTATTTTATTCCAGGGGAGACAAACTGAAATTTCAGTGTAGGCAAGATGGCTGTTTCTGTCCCAGAAACATTGAGAATGTCCCTAGCAGAATGTAACTCTTAATCAGGGTTGTTTATTCACGCCGGGAGCACCTCAGGTCAGGCTGCTCACTTGGTGCCATTTGGTCTGCCCTGAGCCTTCCTGGACGGGAAGTCCTTAAGATTAAAGATTATATTTTTATGGTCTCATGCCTGCCTACTCCAAGCTATTAACTGAAGAGAAATGTAACTAAGAGTCAATTTGTAGCAAGGATATTAACGGTCTTTTGTGTGTGTCACAATGAAAAATAGGAAGGAATCAAGGTGGAGTAATGGAGAGAAGAAACCAGCTTGGTTATTGTTTGGAGTATTGAAAATAAGAGTATTTCTGTGTGGAAGTGGAATCGTCATTCGAAATCAGTATTGAATATGTAATTAAAACAAAACTGATAAAGAACGTACGATATGAGGATATTAACAGATAGGCCATATAAAGGATTTCATCTTACTTGCAGTGGCTGCCTTTTTCAAAGCACTCTTTTTCCAAAGCAGTATCTTGGCAAAGGGAAACAGGGAAATATTTGAAATAAAGTAAGGCTGTGTGTGTGAGCAGGAGAGAGAGGCTGTATTTTTTTGTTGTTGTTTTTCAGTTGTCCTTGATGCTGCGATGTATCCTACAATTGTTTAAATGGAACGCATTTTGAAAATCTCGTTTCTTCATACCAGTCTGGTGGGTGACTTGTGGTTCTGCATTTCATAAACATGCCCCTTGGGTTTATATTTTTGCATTTATTATTTGTCAAGGTAAGGTAACAAGGCGTTACGTATGATTAAATTGCATTTGAAAAAAATTCTTTTGGCTTTTCAGAATGAGTCATTGTTAAAAACAACAGAAAATTCATATTTATTTCCTATGCATGTTGCATCTGTGATGGTTTTAAGGCTCGTATCTTTGAATATATATAAGTTTTGAGAGATGACTGAAATTTTTGGAACTTTGGATGTGTCTGTACGTGTGCACATTGGAGTATTCACTTCAACGTGGAAATGAAAACTGTTCCAATATTGTCCGTGAGGAACGTGTTACATTTTTTATTCCTTCTAATCCTCTGTTAACCTTCAATAAGTCACAAGTTGAGTCATAGAAATAGTAACATAATCCTTCTTATAGGAAATAATTTCATTAATTTAATAATTCCGTTAAACAATTGCGTTATCAGTAAAGCAACTGCTTATTAATACATAATAGTAATTATGTACATTAATCTAATGTTCATCTGAAAACTATAGGATAAAAAGTCTGGCATTAATAAAATATATCATTTCTAAAGGAATATTGTAATAGCCTAAGGTTTTGATTTGGGAAAATGAAATTAGTTCAAATTTTAAAAAATACTATTTGATTTAAAAGCAGATACATATTCTCTTTAGAAAATTTGAAAAAAAAAAAAAAACAAAGAAAAATGCAAAGAAGAAAATAACAGTTATCCGTGATCTCATCATCCGGTAATAACTACTGTGAACATTTGGGTTTGGCTAATTTCAGCTCCTTTTCTGTGCACACAGAGCTCTTTAAGTAGCTCTATACACATCTGCCTATTGCAGTGGCTTTCAAAACAGGATTCTGTTCCGTCATTTCTCTTTACATACTATAATGAGAATATTTTCTAATTTCATTGTTCTTCCATCATTTACATTATAGTGTACTTCATCAGCTTTTTATTGTTGGCCGTTTAGTTTTATAATTTTTTTCATAGCAGGTACTTTAAATGGGAAGTTATCTTCATGCTAACCACCGTGGGCTCCTGACAATGTAGTTGTGTTTGAGGGGCAGTTGGAGATTGAGGACGATACATTTTTAGACCTTTTTTGGAATAAACTCCTTTTGTCTTTCCTCCCCTTGTTTGTACCTAGAGCTCCACATGCTAGATTTCCCTGTTTAAAACTCTCTCACTGTTCTCTTCTATTAGCTAACATCAAACTGCTCGATTGATTTTGGAGTTTATACTTAGGAAAAAAATTAAACAATTGTCTTAGGTACTGCTATTTGGCTCATGTGGGCTTTTTAAAACCTAGATATTATTTTCATTCATTTTTAGGTGCATCATGTCAATACCTAAATATTGTCATAGATGACCTTTGTGCAGATTTCCTCAGACACCCTGAATGCAGCTTCCTTCTCATTTGTAAAGGCCGATTTTGCACTTATCTGACAGGGCTAAGAAAGTTTCCTTTCCTGTTATTGCACTCGTTTTTGTCTTTATATGTTTTGTTGTTGTTGTTGTTGTTGTTGTTGTTTGTAAATAGAAGGTGGCGGTTTCATGCCAGGGTCTGAGAAGCCCGGCTGGTTGGGCACTGAGGCTGTTTTCCTGTGAACAACTGGAAGGTTTGCTCTGTGTCCTCCTGGAATGTGCTCTCCAGGGAAACTTTCTGGTGTTCAGATCACTCCTGGCTGTGTGAATCTTTGTCCTCATACTTCCAACCACAGTTCATGCACGTAACCATTGAAACATGAAACAGATTCCATGGTAAGCAAGAAATTCTGGAGGTTTTTTGAGTCTCATCCATAAAAGTTTTTCTGTTGTCCTCTGCATCACAACTTAGGCCAACGTGGCAGCAGTCTCAATGTCATCATTCTCCGTATGTATACTTCATTGGTTTATCACCTTTTATTTTGGGAAAGAGAAAGTGAGGCATCACTTACTACTCTTAGTTGCTTCCCCATGTTTCTTTTGCTTCAGAGCCAAAATCATTAATGAACAAGTTACAGAACATGGGGGAAAAACCAAGTACCTGACTTGGTTGAGGCTCTGACAAGTATTCCTCATGGGAAATCTGTGAATGCACTGGGTGGATTCTCACAGGTATCAGTCTGGGCCAGTGCATCGTTGCCAAAAGACAGTGAATCAACACCCAAGATCTGAGATTGCTGCCAGTGCACAAGAAAATAGAAAAAAAAGAAGCCCAGTGATAAAAGACATGTGGAATTTTGTTCACCTGAATGTACTAAGTTAAACAAAGTCAACCGCAGTGATCACAGAGTGAAAAAACAACAAACAGAAAGCTACCCAAACTAATTAAAATTTTAACACTCTCCCCACCCCCACCCTCAACCCCAGCAGCTTTGATTGACACTGCATAGTTAAGCTCGTCCATTTGTTTTTAAGGCCAAAGTTCCCACAGCATAAAAATAACACAATAGCCCCTGCTTGGCAGTTTGTGGACAAGTGCAAGGAGCTTGGAGAAGCGCTGATGGTTCTATTGAAGAAGCAGCTGTTTGTGTCTTCACTTCTGACCCGTGGCCGCACTCCGGGCTGGCTGTGCTCAAATCTCTTTCACTCTCCCGCTCCAAGCGGCTTGCTATTCACAAAATAGAAGCCAGGCGTGTGTTGGTTTCAGCTACTTCCAGAAGCAGATGCAGCAATTACCTTCAGAGGCAAGCATGAGATGAACTTTGAGTAGTGGCCGGCTTTTAGGATGGTGGTCCGTCCAGGGAGACTTTTATTGCTGGTAATCCTTTTAGATCTTCAGCACCAATTGATGGTCTGTACTTCAAGCTATTGTCAACACAGATGGCGCTGGGTTTGGAATGCCAGAGGCAGACAAATCCTGCCTGTGTTTATCCAGTTTTAACTTTTGTGCTAAGCGATTGAACTATGAATGCTAGCAAAAAAGAAAGAAAGAAAGAAAGAGTATTTCCATCAGATGTTATCTGTTCATTGTGAAAACTAATTAGGACACCTACACAGACTCAGAGATAGGCTAATGTTAAATAATTATATATATCTATACATCCATATATATGCATATAGTATATCCATGAAACAAAAATTTTTTAAATTAGATTTGTTTTGAAATCCATTACTCACCTCTTTATATAGTACTTACATTACCAATAGGGAGAGTTTGAAATAATTTATTTTTACAAATAAAAAATGTACATTATGGAACTTGTCCTGTGGAGAAGGAAAAGAAGAAAGAAGGGAGGAAGGAAGGAAGGTAGAAAGGAAGAAAGGAAGGAAAAAGAAGAAAGGAAAGAAAGAAAGGAAGGAAGGAAGGAAGGAAGGAAGGAAGGAAGGAAGGAAGGAAAAAGAAAACAGAAAGAAAAAGAAAAAAGAAAGAAAGGAGAGAGAAGAAGGAAAGGAAAGAAAGAGAAAGAAAGAAAGAAAAAGAGAGAGAAAAAGAAAATGTGCATGGTTCTATTATCTTAACAGGGTCTTGGGAGCAGTGGTTTTGGAACTTTGTACATAGGAGACTCACAGGACAGGTTTGTGAAAGATGTGAATTCTCTCAGACACAAGGACCTTGTGTCAGGCCAGGAGCTCCACATTTGGTCAGGTGCCTGTGACTGTGATGCAGGGCTGAGGACCACACTTGGAGAGAGTAGCCCTGCATGGGTGTTTCTAGGCTCAGCTCCAGTAGGGGGTGGGGGGTGGGATAAGGGTGGGGGGTAAAAGTGGGGAGGGGCGTGAAGGTGGGTGGGGAAGGGAGAAGTTCTCAGCCAGTTCCTTCCTCACTGAGTCTTTAATGTACACATCCTTCCTGCTGCCCAGACCAACTGTCTTCCAAACTCCTCGCCCTTCCCCAGCCAACTGTTCTCACCTGGGACGCAGTAGAGAGCCACTCTCCTCTCCCAGACC